GGTGGTTTAGGGTGATTTCGGGTGCAAACATTTTTCAATGCCATTAACATTGTTTGTAGTTATGTCCATGTAAAGCTGAGTGTATGTTGATACTATATACTACTCCGCTGCGATTTGTAGTTTACCTGCCCAGCCATAAGCCTCACGTCTTCTTCGTATAAGTAGTTATCTGCTGTTCATGTTTACCTTCAAGTGTTTTTGGCTTGCCTGTTTATGGTAGCCGTTGTGTGGTGACATAACTCCGTGTGTGTGCTATATCATATATACCTCTGTATTATGTTGGATTTGACGCATTCGTACACTCACGTATGTACACGTTTCAAGCTATGCGTGGGATTTTGAAAACGTTCTTCATAGATGTCTGTAGGTTTAAGCATTCGCAAACTGCATTGTCTGCGAATGCGTTTAGGGGTGATATACACAGTATCCGTTCAGGTTTACCTGACCGCTTTCCACTTTTTGTCTCCGCATGTTGCCAAAGCAAATCCATTTCCATGATGCGCATTCATCCAGCTCTTGAATCAGTCAAAAACGGTTTGGTTTTTAGTATTTACCCAAAACCCTAAGCTACATAAGCCCTGAACCCTAGCTAAACTTTGAAACATAACCCCGATTCCGTGATCCGCATTCATTCAGCCCTGACTCGTTCAATAACGGACAGCAACTCCGAGGTGCCTGTGAGCCGACCATCTCATCGAACCTCGCGGGAAACACTCGACGCACTTCCCAGTCAAGCCGAGGGTCTGAAAGCTGTATAGGTGCGTGCGTAGTCTGTAGGGGAGTGTGAGTGCTTTAAGTACCACATATACTGATATATGAATGGCAGACATACACTTTTGGTGTGTTGGTGATGGTGTGTTGCCTGTACTAGAATCCGTAGTGATGGCTGGTTGGTCTGCGTAGACGCGGGGCAGGTTTAGTGGCCCCATGAACCTACATATTGAGAGTGTTCGTTTGTAGGTCACTCTGCGCCTTTACTACTTGCGTACAGATCTGATCAATGCGCAGAACAAGTCTAAACGATATAGTATATTTGCCTGTCTCTGAGTCCAATCCGTAACCATCCCAATATCCATGTCCATGTCCATGCACATTCACATTCCCATCTCGTTGAAGTGGGAGAATATGCCCATAGTCTGGTCGGCCTGTAGCCATCGAGCACCACACTTCTTTTAATATCGTGTCCTTTAAAAGACTGTGACTGTGACTGTGTGGTGTTGAGATCGCATACCCTATCCAACACACTCGCCTGCGAAGAACATACCACTCGCACATGCACATTACATACACGTATGTACATCAAGAGCAAGCTACATTTGTATGTACATTGCATACATGTAGGTGCATGAAGAACATGCCACACTTGTTATGTACATTACATACATGTGTGTGCATATGTAGTCTGCGTATGCAGCGAGGCCTGACATTACCAGCAGCCCTGCGATTCACGATTGCACTCGAAGTCATCTGATGACGGCTTTATGATACCACATTTGCCGTCATAATACGATACCATGATAGTTGCCTTCTGTTGATACAATGTCATGTTAATTACTCGCTTATAGTACATTCCCATGTTAGTTGCTTGCAGTTATTACAATGTCATGTTAGTTTCTTGCTGTTACTGTAATACTCTGTCTGTTGCTTGCTGGTTGTGCCAGGACTTGCCTCTTCCACGTTGTCTGGCAATGGCTTGTTTATGTTTCATCACTTGTACGCACATGCCATACCCTTGCCACACTCAACCGCAAGTCCACCATCCTATATGATCCGCTTGCCCATGTAGTCCCACATCACGCTTTATAGACCCTCATCACATAGTAACTACCCAGCATTATCTGCGTGCTCAAGTGTGCACCTACTGCACCCTCCCCACCTTTACCTTCAACGCTTGCCCGTGGCTTTATAGACTCCCATCACTATAGTAACTACCCAGCATTGTCTGCGTGCTCAAGTGTACACCTGCTGCACCCTCCCCATCTTTACCTTCAGCGCTTGCCCATGGCTTTATAGACCCCCCTCATCACTATAGTAACTACCCAGCATTATCTGCGTGCTCAAGTTTGTACCTACTGCACCCTCCCCACCTTTACCTTCAGCGCTTGCCCATGGATTTATAGACCTTCATCGCTATAGTAACTACCCAGTATTATCTGCGTGCTCAAGTGTGTATCTTCTGCACCCTCCCCACCTTTACCTTCAGATGCGTGCCAGGTTTCTGTGACCGAATATACGATACACAAGGCCACCTTCCCGTACGCGGTCTTCACGGTCTTAGTGAAATGGGGCCCAACCGAGCAGATACAAGTGCTGAGACGGTATAATGACTTTGTGGAGCTGCGATCTCTACTGGCGATATCCTTCCCCCCGCCCATCATTGCGGGGTTGGTGTTACCACGGAAACGATGGTTTAAGCGCAACAAATTCGAACCCGAGTTTATGGAAGACCGGCAGAGAGGCCTGGAGACGTTCCTGAGACAGATTGTGACCTCACCGGTCCTTTTTGGAGTTAAAGTGGTGCAGGACTTTTTAGGACCGGGCTGGAAGAAAGCCCCGCCTTTGCGAAAGGTGTGTGTAGACCAGAGTATTATGAGTTCTAATATTTAGTTTAAAATTGCTTCACAAACATAATCGAATCTTATCAGTCAATTCGATAAGAAATATGCATATGCATTGCCACATGTTTATTGCTACATGGTTGCACATTTTTATTATACACGGGTCTGATTGGACACACGTTACATATAAACAACTTTTCTCATGCCTAACGCCCCACGACGTTCGCAAAATTCTACACCCTTTGTTATGGGACTAAGTATCTGTTCTTCATTTCAGTTTTTCAGTTTTTTCAGTGGCAAGTTTTAGCGTGCCGAAACAAGTGTCGATACTGACGTCCGTCACAGAGACATATCTCTATATCGTACTCAAATGCCTTACTACACTTAACGATCCTCAATTACATCACTTGTACCGTTGCACATATAAACTTGGTTTTTGATATATACTCAAACCCGTCCCTACCCCCGCCCCCTCTCAACTGTTTATAGCTGCAATCTAGAAACAATTCGCCCAATATGAGCCCTGCGAGCCTGAAAAACGGGCGTCATGTGAACCACACAGTCAGTAACTTAGGCCAAGGCAAACGCGCGCAATACGCACCAGCACCAGAGAAGAAACTTAGTAGCAGCGACACGGCTCAGCGCGACGGAGCCAGCCCACACACCCCACCGGCCAAGCCCCCGCACTCGACCGTGGACGTGGTCGCGCATAGTAAGAATAACGGGTGCGCGTACACGCAGAGAAGCTCGAGAAATAGCACAGACAAGGCCGTGGAGAGTGTGCCTGTGGACACGAACACAGCCGAGAGTAGCGGCAAGGAGGAGTCGACGTCACCCACCCGGTCGTGGGGCGAGGGGCTGACGTCACTGTTCAGCCGAGATCGCGAGAAAGACAAGGCCAGTGACCAAGACACAGATATGAATAATAACAGCGGTAACCATAGCAACAGCAGCAGTAATAATATGAGTATAAACACTAATCACACGGACGAGTATAGTAAGGGTGCACCCGTCACGGGATCGGCAGACCACATAGACGTGTCAAAGCCGCCAACCCCGCCAAAGCGCACGATGCTGCTGTCTGGGTTTCTACAACCAGCAAACAAGTACAGGACCAACTCGCCAACATCGCCGAGGTAGGCTTATATATATATATATATATATATATATATATGTGTGTGTGTATGTATGTATATGTTTATATATATGTATCTATTATATATATATATATATATATATNNTGTGTGTGTGTGTGTGTGTGTGTGTTGTGTGTATGTTATATATATATATATTATATTATATATATATATGTATATATATACGTGTGTGTGTGTGTGTGTGTGTGGTGTTGGTCCGTATCTGAACCAAAATTTCCTCTTATAAACTTATGTGTTCTGACCTTGGCCTCTGGGATGTAGTCAGTATGAGTCGAGGAGAATCAATCTCCACGACAGCACCTTGTGCCTCTATGAAGTTAGTCTAGCTCTATACTATTATGACATCCTCCTTGCCGAGTGCTTGGTTCTAACCTGATTCTACTTTCGCACCTCGTTTCCTCTCCACCACAGGCTCGGCGCCCCAAATAACAACCGGAAAACAAGTGAAAGTGGATACAACCAAGCCTCCCCCCGAAGTTCGCCTCTGGGAGCTAGGCGTAACTCCACAGACAACCAGAACACAGTACGCAGACAACACCACCACCACCACTCACGCATACGCAAACTCCCCATACCCCCTACACTGACGTCGGGTTTGGCCCATCCCATATACGTGGCCATTAATCCGAAGGTGTTGAGCTTACGGAGAATGTTCGATACCGAGAAGGGCAGTGTGAAGCACGGGACCCCGCCGACCGGGGCTACGGCGTTACAGGGGTATGTTTTCAGTTGTTACAACTGTATACACTAGGGGGGAGTTCCCTTGCATGTATATGCTTGAATATATGAACACGTACTAACTAGTGTTTCCGTGCATGTATGCTGGTTTATAGCTACTTAAACTGTCACATTGAAATACCCATTATCTCAAACTTGCACAGATCTGTGTAGGAGAAACCCCAATACAGTTTTATAAACCCGTTTTATAGCTACATAAACTGACGTTGTAATACACACTACCTTGAACCTGCACAGAGACGGTGAAAACCGAAGTTCGGTACCGATTGCGCTGCCGCCGGATGGTTTTTTCGACGATGTGTTCCCTACTGGAGATGTGATCATGAAACAGCAGAACTTTCAGGTGCGTGGGATGTGGTTGTACGTAAATATAGAAGTATTGGTATTAATACTGTGGGGTTAGCCTCATTCCCACAATGTCCGGCAGGATTTCTTATTTACGGTTATCTATTCAGAATTATCTGATGTTTGGTATGGTGTATTATTTGAGTTATCTTGATGTCTGGCTGGATCTGTTTTTTACGTTTATCTATTCAAATTTATCTGATGTTTGATATGGGGTATTATTTGAGTTATTTTGATGTCCAGTATAGTTTGTACTGTGAGTTTGAGGCATTCCTCCCGCTGTAAGTGTGATTATGAAACAGTAGAACATGTAGATGCGTGCGATGTGGTTTTAGGAAAAGCAATCTTGGTCGACTCTGTTTTACCTCCTGCTATACAATAGCAGTGCCTTGACGGGTCAATTTTAGTACACTTCACCACTTCAAAGTGTAATAATTGTGATGATCAGAGGTTTCCGTTCCGTGTCTTGTAGTTATATCTTTTAAGAGTTTAGATCTGTGCACAGCTTGTATTGGCTACTCCTTGCTCTTACAATGGGTCCAGTGACTTAAAAGTGTACATTCAATGGTATATTTTTCCTACTCTGAGAGTACTTCTTACCCTGGAACGAATTTTTCAACTACAGTCGCACCAAGTGCGTGTTATGGGATTACATTCGCATACCCAATTACGCGAAATGTACCTTGTGTTCAATGAGTGTGCGCTCTGCCCTTAATCTCGCCTATCGCTTCTGAATTGAACAATGCCGTATCTACGCCATGGCACACACACACACTCACAAGACAGCCTCGAGTGCACACACACACACACACACACAACATCAATGCATGTATTGATGCTCATACTACCAACCATTTGGTGCCCTTTCCACCCCACAGAAAGAATACTACTCGCGGCGCTTCAAGAAAATGAAGGACCCGGCCAAGTTATACCGTCCAAATGTACTCTCGGTGCGGAATGAGAGGGGGTTCCGATGAAATACTTGAAAATGCCAATTTATTTAGCTTAAAACGTGCAGCCTTATGGATCGGCTCCGACCCGATTGTCCAAAAAAAAAAACACACACACACAGAAAAATTAGTTTAAAAGTAAAAAATAAAATAAAATAGATGAGGTAAGAGACGACGATGAAAGTTGTGTATAGGGCTTTGCGGGACTTTTGCTATGGTTTGCCAAATATGCATTGTCAGAGCTGGTGACCTATAACCTGAAGTATGTGTTGATATGGTTGTTGAACGGTAATCCGGTAGTACACTCGTTGCCTCGCTCGCAGCCTACAGAGCACCATCGAGCACTGATATAAACGAAGCTCGTAGTCGAGCCCAGTCTATTCGGAGATAAAGTATCGGATAGACTCTTATTTATCCAGGAAGGCATCTGGCTAGTTTAGTTTTTATGTTTTTAGTTATAAAAGTATCTAACTGTACTCAACAAATAAACATATAAAGTATCGGATTATCCCTATATGGGCCTCGTGGGGTGTATAGGCTAACCTCTGGATAATACTGTAGCTTGGGGGAGCCCTGCTCAGTGATACCTTGCAGATATACGACGGGAACGGGCGTATGGTGGCCCGTTTAATCTCCTGGGGTTTTGTAATAGCAAACCAATAACTGCGCATTCATATGACCTATCTACCCGGCTATATATGTATATGCTGCATGTACTCTCCTCGTCTAGAGAGGCGCATAAGTGACCATTCTTACTCGAACATGGTCTGGATGGCTTGCACAGCAGTCACAGCAGCCATGATGAAGATACCATTTTTCATCTTCCCCAGGGCTCCATCCATATTCTTCAAACCGTTCACCAATTTATCCGTGTCGTTACCTGTGCGTACAGAAATAAATGGATAAATATTCACGTATATGTATATAAATATGCACATCCAACGTATGGATAAATAAGAATAAAGAGCTTCTTCAAGTGTTTTCATCCAACGAAACGACATATGTACATATAAACGTATTCAAATCGAGAATTTGAATAAATGGACAAATGCTCACATAAACGTATTCAAATATATAAATTCAAGCTTTTGTGCTTATGCGTAAACAGTCCATGTATCAAAAGGTTTGTGTCGTTGCATGTTTGCGGAAAGAATAAGTAATATTCTCGTAAACGTATTAAAATATATATACATCCAACGAATGCATATACACACACACAAACATATTCAAATATAAGCATCCGAGTGCATGCGTGTATATGGACAGTTCATGCGGCAAATGATTCGTGTCGTCGCCTGTGCATACAACTAACCGGCCTTGAAAACAGGGTAAGTTTTGTTAAGGTCAAATAACTGGATTAAGAAACACATGAACTTGTTCTTGTCTACATTGACTACATGTGCGTATATGTGTACAACCCATACGCCCAATTCTTCGTGACGTTGCCTCGGTGTGTAATCGAACGGACGAACTATAATATATATGTACAACCAACCCCATCTAGAATCGTACAAGTGTAGATAACAAGGGTATATATGCATATATTTAGATTCACATGCGTGTGCGTGTGAATCTGCACATTCAAACATGTGCGTGTGAAACTGCCCAATGCGTAGTGAGCATTAAGGCACGCTTCCAGCCTATGCGTCGTTTTAAGTCCCAACAAAGCATACGTAGCAATACACACTCACACAACTTTGTATGATACAACACCTCATATGAGAAGCCACACAGTACACTATTTATCTCGATACAACTAACCACATCACACGTACGCACCACGCTTTTTGTCCCAAAACAGCATCCCATTGCCATACACACACGCCATCCTTTTTGTCCTGGTCCAACGTCCCATACCATTCTAGCACACTCACACCCATTATGTCCCAGTGCAGCACCTCGTGCGATACCTACACACCCTACCTACAATCCCTACCTACACACCCTACCTTTCGTCTTGGTACAAGAATCGAAGCTCTGGTGTCCGTCGGTCAAAGATTTGGCGATGAACGCACTGACCACCACTCCCTTTAAGACCTTCAGCAGCGGGAGTATCTTGATCTCACCCTGGATCTCAGTGATCAGGTCCAGCAGATGCGCCGCGCATAGGAGAGCATAGCCGATGGCGATAGCTTTGCAGGTTTCTGTGGTGTGAGTAGAAGTAGGGTTTAGGATTTAGGGTTTAGGGTTTTAGGTTTAGGGTTTAGGGTTAGTGTCAGGGGATATGTTGAAGATTGTGCGCTACCAGGGCAGGTATCAACAACCGCATAGTTCGAGGATGAGTGTCTGTATTCTGGCTGTTATGCGCACAACATTGTATAGATGCTCAAGTGTCCACAGAAATTGTTAACACTTCTATATGGAAGGTGTGCTATATGAAATACGTGCTCCATTCTGGTTTATGTATACGGAAATGTGCGTTCATGTGTTCAACAACTTTGGGCTGAATATAGAACAGACATCCATATGAGATGTCGGCGAACACAATGACATGTGTCGAGGATTATTCTGAGTCGTAAAAATGAACCTCATTCAATTGGAGTGGATAGCGACATAATCTACGGTAAACAAAACGAAGCAGATGTTCTAATGTACATTCCATATACTTATACTATAGAAACCACATCCGCGACCTTGTGAATATATTTCTGCTATGAGTCCAAACATCCGATATATGTTTATACCGTCAAATAAACACCCCAAAATCCAGTATAAATCTATAGGATCAGACCTGGCTGGTCAATCTAAACAATACCATAGCCTTATGAACGAAGCAGATACGGGCGGGCATGCCCAATATATATATACAT